TAAATTATTGAAACTAAATTTGAAGAAATGACATCTCAAAACAGTTTTCCTTGTCAACTCATCTTGTTAAATTGATAGAAAAAATCTTTTTCTCTAATTCTTTGTTTTTGATCTTTTTATTTCTTGGTACTAAAACGTTCTTCTCTGCAAAACGTGCTACCATAAGGAAATACTTTATAGCGAAAACTACTTTGGATATTGAAGTACTTCAATAAAAAAATCAAGAAAGTTTCTTGTTATTATTTTTTTAAATCAATTTTGTCAAAATCTGCGATTTTTTTCGGGTATTGTTTGATATTATTTACAAGTTCATTAAAAAAGATATTTCATATGAGCCAGTAAAATATATTTTAATACAAATGTGGTTTTAGCATTTTAGAAGCAAATTGTATTAAACTATATGAATAAAACATAATGTTCGTATGTTGACTTAACAAATTTGTTACACCAAATAGAATCGCACCAAATTTGGTGAATATACGATTCAAAAATCTCCGATTATTCGTTTGCGCGACACAGCTAAACAAAATAATATAAATACACGAAGAAGAAAATCTGGTTCAGAAACCTTAATAAAAACAAAAATCCGCGTATGAAAAAAAAAACAAAATTCTGGAAAATAAAGCCAAAATATACGGTATTAAAACCCTTCCCTCGGTAATTTTTTCGTTCTTATTTTATAGATTTACTGCAAATTCTGGTTTTCAAAATTATAGTTCATTTTACCAGACATTTAGTGAAAAATACAAAATTGTAATTTAGTAACTGTATTTTCATAATTGTATGAAAATTAAGTTGAACCAAATAAATTATTTTTACGAAATGGTTTAAGGTATCGTATCATAATTAAATTACTATATTTTATCACAAATTATAAAACCATATTTAATGGTTAATTTCACCAAAGTCATTATCAAAGCGCAAGTTTGCAGAGCTTTTTGATGTTCCCATGTAGCCAGAAGCATGGTAAATTTTATTATATTCTGGTTTAGTTTTGATCATACCAATTTTCTAAGTGTAAAAATTTACCTGCAAACACAGAAAGTTCGGCTTTGTAAGAGGTCATGAATTAAGAAAACACATTAACTGCTATCAACGTCAAAAGAATTCATAAAGAAGGAATGCAGAACTAAAATCATCAAATCCTTATTGATTGCGCAAAGGAAAGAAAGAGCCTAAGACAATCATTGGAAGCATATTCAAATTTAATCAGGTCATTATAACCTTATAACATGTTACGTTATAAAAACATATAAAAGCTTATTTCTTAGTAAATTTTACTTTTACAAAAATTATTACCAAAGCGCTTTGATAATATTTACAGAACCTTTTGGTGGTCCCATAGATCAGAAATACGATAAACTTTTCGGTGTAATAAAAAAAAATATTTTTCATAGAATTTAATAAATAATTTACACTGTCAACGATTTTCCAGCTTATAGCTTTATTTGACTCAAAATATTATGAAAAACTTATGTTTGATACCCTGTATGAAGATTAGTACAATTGCGAACTTCCACTTCAAGAAGAAGAAGATCACAGAAACTCACACATGTGACCAATGACGTCAGCACCAGCTAATCATTTATAAGCAAAATGGCTTGTTAAAGTTGAGCTAGGTTTCTCCGCATAAGTTGGAATGTTAATTAACATGAATTTAATTAAATACAGCGCTATATTGCGTATCAAAATCGCTGAAATATAATTCTTCCTCGTCAACGTCTTTTACTTAACTTAGATTTATAATTTGCTTCGGTGTTTCATTGTAACAGTGACATATTTTTGGTTTGTGTACCTGGCAACTTCGATGCATAATTAGTTTGTCTATGTTCTACGCAGCTTCGTGCCTGTCTTTTTGTTAAGTAAAAAATATAAATGAGAGAAATTATATATTTGTGAAAAATCACTGTAAAAGAATATAGCTGTCACTTAAGATGAGTGATACTTGCCAGAATTGGCAAACTCGAAATAGAATGGAAAGAATAATTGAAACCGAAAAATAATGCCACGTTTCAACAACCAATCAGGATCAAGATACCCACACTACGTCACTTGCAGGTATCCCATTCAGATCAACACTTGTGACGTCAATGCACCAGAAAATTGAAATATCTATGGAACTACAGTCCTACTTTGCTAATACTTACGCTTTTAAAGCATACTTCTATGAAGTAAAATAAAGTACTATCAATAAAATTTAATACAGTAATGTCGAAGTAATGTAAGAAAGGGTCAATTTATTTTTGAAAAAATTGTGATTGTCGCAAGTTTTTACTATAACGGCTAAAAAAAATACTATATGTTTCCTTTCTTTAAAACTTTGAATCAGTTTTTTATGGGTTTCTTGAGTTAGCTTTCTTAGATAAATCTCATAATTTTAAGTCATAAGTTGTACTAAAGGGCTATTAGGTATGATAATTAATTGCTGCACAAAAGAGGAAAACGTATATTACTGAGAGAATAGTTCAAAAAATAATTATAAAATTACTTCTGTTTTTCGTACCTATTTTTGAGAATTAAAATTATAACTGTAAAACATCTTAGCTGCCATACATTTAAATCTTGAAAACAAAAATTTAAATCTATATCAATTTAAATCTATATCAACCACATTTAAAGGAAACATCTTTTGTACCGTATTTCTTGATAGGAAAAATTATTATAAAATAACAAAATATCATTTACTTATTTACAAGTATCACATACTCAGATCAAAAATGAATTTTTTTTACCCGGAAGGCACCGGGTAAAGCTGTTAGTTTCTTAATAACTACACATACGACGTTCGTAATGCACGGAATGTTTTCTAGAAATTAAGATAGTCAAAAATAAATTTTTTGCTTGGCAACAATAGGAAAAAAACACTTAAATGATAATGTCTTCATGAAATTAGAAACTGATTTTTACAGATATTTAATGATAAATCAGTAAAAGAAAAAGCTGAATTTTAAATTTTTGTACCATTTAAAAATTATCATCAACTTGTTAGTTATAAACTTTAGAGAAATATTTGTTCAGTTTTCGTCAAAACATTTAAGTATTCTTTGAAATATAAATAATTTACACTAAAGGCAGATTACAATAATTATTATTTACATATATTGTGACATAAATGACATAAATGGCATAATCTAATATTTTACTATTTACATAATAAATTTTTGTAGTCACAATGTGTATCATAATGTATATGAGCAATTATAGTATTTAAATATATATTTTAATAACGTTAAATAAATAAATGTGTTTAAAAATATTCACGAAGAGGATTTAATAAATATTCCGTTTCTTGGAAAATTATTAAGTGTCAAATAATGTAATGTTTAAATAATATGTAATAATAATGCATTATTATTATTGTATATAAATGATAGTAATAATAACAATATTTCTAAAACATGTTATACGAGTATAATATTTACATAATAAACCCATTATATAAATATTATAATGTTTTATTTTCTGATTAATTTATTTACATATTTTGTGACAAATTTATGAAAATTTCGAAAAATTCGTATCCGATAGATTGTTTTTCATAACTTTCGTAAATCAACACCATTCAACTTAAGATTTTGTCTTTAACGTCAAGTTGACAATAACTATATTTAATGTGTTTTTATACTTTAATTTATAATTAAATGTACGGTGGGCCAAAAGAAAAACTGAATAACTTTTGATCTAATGATCGGAACTTCACGTTCTAGGACTCAATCTTAATGCTTCGAAGGGGTGACCAATGGGTGCTTCGAAAGATAATGAGTGCAGACGATATTTTAAGTTATGAAATCAAACACAAAAACGTACTTTCTCTGAATAAACATACCTTTGCGAAATAATAAGACATACCATGCAAAATAGTAAAAATATTTATATTTGCTTAAAAATATCCCTATTTTAATCAGAAAATAATTAAAAAGCTGAATAAAGTATTCAGATTTTTAACAGTTAATTATTAAAGGCTTGTACTTGAGATAAGTAAGTAAAGAAAAATTCATATTTTCTAAAAACAAAAGACTTTTTTAATTATTTTACATTTAATGCATCGCTCATAAATGTGCGTAGCGCATATTTTCAGATCGCATACTAGTAAGGCTGTTTAATTCATAGAAAACAATATAAGATTCTTAGATTTCCTTTTACATATTTAATATTGTGTCACAGTTCTTCTTAGCTCAGTTCTACATTAAGAGGAAAAATACGGCATAGGATTAAGAGGTTGAAATTTCTTCACATGCTGCAAATATCACATTTCTAGAAAGACAACTTTTTCGAAATTTGAGATTGTATGTAAATTGCTAGCAGCTACATTATTCAACTACGTTTTGGTTTTCATGAAATGAAAAATGATCTAACTTATTGGCTCTTAATAAATATGAGAAGACAATAATCTCGGGGTCAATATTCAATTCTTGTCCATGATAGATGAGTGAAACTTCGATCTTTATAAGTTGCATATGCTATTACAAAATCGCTCCATTATAGGAAATATTTAAGTTCAAGAAAATATGATATTGATGTTACATTGGCTGAATCGAATCTGAAATAATTAATACAACACTGCACTTTCTGTCAGAAATATTATTAACAATGATATAAACTTTGTAATAAAATTTCGCGATCATGCAGCGAATATAAATTTCATCATCCTTGTTTGAAACTTGAACTCTAAATGTGTTTATCATAAAAATCCTTGAAATGATTATATCTGTTGTTATTTTCTATTAAAATAAAATGTGTAGGAAATCAGATTTTCATACGATTTTAATGTTGAAACATGTGAATTTTAGCAAGTATAATTTCAACCTTAATTTTAAAACTTTTTTACCATAAAAATGCATAGAAAATGGTTATACCTGTTGTTATTATTAAGCAATAAAATGTGTTGTAGAGAATAAAATATGTACCCATATTCCGCTTATAAAACGTAATAATTGCAAATGTAATTATCAGAATTTTTATAACATAAGTTAAGTATTTTTTTTATTTTAAATTTTCAGATAGTGATTGGAACACTGAAGAAAGTCAATCAACAAGCAGTAGTAGTGGGGGAGGTACCACAAGAGGTGTGTAGAATTAAAATTTTGTATTAATATACATAGATTCTAAAACATTTTGGAACCACGTGAACCCTAACATCGTTCAACTTTACTGCAATTTTAATTTGGCACCAAGTTGAACAACATTATTATGCATGTTAATTTTTCCTTACACGATAATAATAGGTTCAATATTGTTTTATTCAACGCCCTATGAAATTTGCACCAAATTTGTAGGGTATTGGGGCAAAAAATGCATGATAATGAATATGGTGATTGTTTATTGTGGTTCAACTCTAAACCTGTGTTTCTGAAAGAGTGAAGTAATTGGAAAATGTGGCGTAACTAGAAATGTGCTCAGTCAAATCAATATAATTTCAAGTTTTTGAAAAAAAATTCGTGCAATTTTTTGCTTTCTACTGATTTTCCCTTCTCAGAAAACCACATAAATTATTTATTTTCTTCTCGTTTTTAACATTAATTTTAACAGTTTCAAAATATTTTAGTGACCAAATTAAATCAAGAAGTAAACTTTTTCATTTCATTCCTAAATATCTTAACCATATGATGCACTTAAAATACGTATTTGTAGAAAAAATACTATGCTTATTGAATAAAAAGATTTTATTAAATACAATTTTTCTCTCCCCAAAAAAACATTTAAAACTACGTTTTCCTTCTTTTTTTTTGCTGTTTGAAACTTTTTTTAAATCAATATCCAAAGTTTTTGGGTATTTTAATGAGAATCTTTTTATTCAAAAGCTAAGCACTTTCATTTTAATTCTAAGTTTTTTAACTATAGAAGGCCCATAAAGAGCCTCCTTGATGAAAAATATTGTACAACTAATAAAAAGATTTTATTTAATACTGATATTCTCCCCAGAAAACCATCAAAACAAGATAATTTTTTATCTTTCTTTTTAGCTCTTTACAACAGTTTTTATCGAAATTTTCATACATTTTGATGACCATTTCAGTTCGACAGATATTCATTATATTTCTAAGTATTTCAACTACACTGTAAAAAATTGTCATGCGTCTGAACACCAAGAATAGTGGCAACTACTTTACACCAAGTGTGGTGTTCAACTACTCCAAAATTCGATGAATCATCACAGTTTTTACAGTATACAGGGTGTCCCGAAACGACCGCATAAACTCTGCACAGCTAGATTCCTCGTTGGGAGTTCATAAAAACTGCCCAAGGAAGCGTTCCTGTACGATCCATAGTTTACGAGAAAAATACGAAAAACAAAGTATGACGTCACTGCCGGTGCAAGAAAAAAACACTTTATTGAACATATCCACGGCGTGCTCAAGCCTGCCTCGACATGCACGGCGGACACTTTGAACATCTACTTTAAATTGTGCATAATATACTGCTGTTGATATGTTCAATAAAGTGTTTTTTTCTTGCGCCGGCAGTGACGTCATACTTTGTTTTTCGTATTTTTCTCGTAAACTATGGATCGTACAGGAACGCTTCCTTGGGCAGTTTTTATGAACTCCCAACTAGCTGTGCAGAGTTTATGCGGTCGTTTCGGGACACCCTGTATATAGAATACTCTTGAAGTGCCTTCTTGTCGAAAAATACCAAAAGAATTACTTGACACAGATTTTCCTCCACACCCCCCCAGAAACCAATCTAACCAAACTTTTTCTCTTATTGGAAACAATTTTTAAAACAACTACCACAGTTTCGTAGCCATTTCGTAGCCATTTGAGATACTAAAATATAAGGTATTTCTATTTAAAATAACTATAGGATATACTCAAAGTATAGCTTGTATAAAAATACTATAGATTTAATATAAAAATACAGATTTTATCACCCAGAAAATCATCCGAACGAACTATTTTTTTCTCCAGTTGTTCAAAATATTTCTTTCAAAACAACTTCCAAAGTTTTCAAACATTTCAGTGACCATTTCAAGTTGAAAGATAACAGCGACAATTGATCGTTCTTTTAAATAAAGGCATCGTTAAAAGACCCATTCGAGAGCTTTTAAAAAACGACCTCTCGTTAAGAGATGCCGGACGGGGCCACTGAAGCGGTCGTAAAAATGACATCTTTTCACACAAAACAATGGCACTGATTGTTAATTTGTGTGCACTTCCATGAAGGAGAGTAACAGCTAAACTTGGAAATGTAGTGCTGCAGACAATGATCCGTTTCAACAAGCAGTTCAAAGTGAATGATATTGAAATGTGTTTAAAAGTTTTTAACTGTTGAATAAACAATCTTCAAATCAATTGCGAAAAATATACTTGGAAGAAATCAAGTTTGTATGAAATGCATGCCAGGTGTTCCATAATGATCTTTTATTTAACTGTATAATCTTGGCGAAAAAATTATCTGGGCCTCAGAATAAGCAAATCGCTTAATTAATCATTTTTAGAAAAAATATTGACTATTTTTTTTAAAAAAAAGAATCGCTTTTTTTCCTACATCAATGAAAAACAATAAATAACGCAGGGGAAAATTTTTTTTCTTCCAATTCTACAATTGTTAATCTTGAATTCGGATGTGGGGATTTCAAATTTCTAATTAGCTTTGCTCCCAAAGCTACAGATGTTTCTTAAATGGAAATTTTTTTGACATAAAAACATTATACACAACAATAGATGATATAAAGTTGCGACAAATTTTTAAGAGATTTAGACCGCATCATCAAGATTGAAACTGCATAAGAAACCATACCCAAAAAGGTCATCGTACGTGGCTAAGGATGCTTCCCTATAATGATATGTTCAGAAGCGCATGGAGAAACAGCTCATTATCTATAGCATTCCTTGTTCCTATTCCGGTTTCTAAGCAATTCCTGATGTCCTGATGATGTGCTTTAACTCTCCTAGAAGTTTATACCAACATTTGCACGAAATTTCACAAAAATAAAATAAAATGTGCTTTAAAAAATGTAGTTTTGTGAGGAAAACTGATTGCAGATTTGAAAAAAGCGATATGAAAGCATCTAAGCTCTTTTTATAAAAAAATTCATGCAACAAAAAAAAAACAAAAAAACAAAAAAACAACAACAACAAAATTGTTCCCCAATGTGATTTTTAATTTTTGAAGAATTTAATGAGACCAAACAATACAGCTTTGGAGTAATTTTACGAACATTAAAAATTGCAACACAAATGTTTTTTTTATTTTTATTTTACACAAAACTAAAGGTTTTCTTCATATTATTTAATACGCTTTTCCTTATCATTCGTACCTTTTTTATAGAGGGTGCTGCCTTAAGATAAGCTAAACATAATTTGACACAAATATCTGTTACAAACTGACAACAGTTGTAAAAATAGAATATTTTTTAAGTTATATCAGTGCTTGTGAGATTTTAGTATGGATTAAAAAGTGTTATTTCAAAAAGTGTTAGTGATAGCAGGACCTTCGAGAAATTGCCTTTAAGTAGGAGGGACGAAAATACTATCGAATACCAATATTCATATTCTTATCGAATTCCTTATTCTATAGAAATAGAACTATCGAATAAAGAATACTTATTGAGAAGGATATAATTAAAAACACCAAACACTGTTTGATTACTTGAGGAAACTAAAGAAAAAGAAAATGTTTCAATTATAAGCGTCTTTATGTTTTATCAGACAATCTGGAATTTCTCATCCAGCCCTTTTCATTGTTAATTCAATAGTTTTTTTTTTGTTTTTTTAGATAAATAAATAATAATATGAATATTGGTATTAAGCGTATTTTTTAAGATTCCTTGTTGACAAAAATTTAAAAAATACATATTAAAGGAGGTATTTACGGATCTCTTTTATTATTGTTAAATATAAACTCAGGTATTTGCCACAAAAATGGGAAGCCAAAGCGGGTAAATTGTTAAAAATAAGTTTTCAAAAGTATAAGCAAAATAATTTTTAATAAATCAGTGCAATTGACATTACATATAAGCATTGTGCTTTTTTTTTTTTTTTTTTTTAAGAAAATATTTGTGTAAAAATTTAACTTATATTTTTAAGGTATTAAAAAAAGAACAACAGTCATATTAAAATAACATAAATGATCGGAAAAATTAAACCGTAATGCAACAAGAGAAAGTTTTTAAAGAAAATATCTTTGAGTGTTAATTACCTATCAATTTTATAAAAAAAATTATATTATCACTTCATAGGAAATGTTTAAAGAATTCATTTCTTCGTTCAAGTTTAGGCACATGAAATTATTTATATTTACATGAATAATAAAAGCTTATTATGTTGCATAATTCAAAATGTTTTGAGGGTAAAATTAAAGCAATAATAAAAATATTGTAATACTGTTTATATTTTTACCGTGTATATTTACTATTAAATACTGTCTATATTTTTGCAAATGACTTTCAAAATTGCGTGAAAACTTTTTCACGTATTTAGATCGGAAAATAAGTTAAAAATACATTGAATAAGATTGATGAGTGTGCTAATATGTTTAAAAAGAATTTATTTGCATGAAGTTATATTTGATTTTGAAACTGCATTGAAATTTCGGTAATTTCTCCATTATTATAGTTCAGATTATTCCGAAATTTTGTTGCAATGTGCTAGTTCATTATTATGATTATTATTAGTTCATTACTAATAGTTCATTATATTGATCAAAATTAATCATTATTTATTTCTGCATTATTACTAACCATTGTTTTGTTCCTTAATCACACTATATAATTTTTGTAACTGATTACAGTTAATTATGTTTTACTGTTGACTAATATTTAGAATTCGTTTTAATAGACTTTATGGACGAACCGCGAACACCAGCAAGGGATGGTAAGTTGGATTTTTCTCTTTTTCTTAATTAACATTTAAAAATATTTTCCAATTAAATTTTTAAAGCAATCCAATCATATCTCCTACTTAATATTGGAAATTATTTCGCAATGTGTTATAAAAATTTGTTAGGTTTTGATAAAGGTAATAATAGCATACTTAACAGCGTTGTATATAAAAAAATAAAAAATAAACGAAATAAATAAAGAGAACTGCTAAATTACGATTTACAGCGATTTATGATACTTTTTGCTATTTAGCCTGTTCAAAGAAAATTTATGATGCAGCATCTGACTTTTAAATGCTTATAAATTGTTCTCCTTATCCTAAAGACAACAAACTGAAGTGAAAAAATTAAAACAGTCTCTTCTTTGGATAAAGCGGAACGAAATATTTTATGAATAATTCATGTTCTAAAATTCTCAGCACGTGATGTTAAATACATTTAAATTTTTCCTAAAATAGGAAATAGAGAAATTGGACGAAAAATTTATGAAAAAAACAGAAAAGAGTGAAATGGAAATCAAAGAAAAATATATTTTTTGTAAAATTTTTATTTTATTTTAAATAAAACAAAAAAAAAGTTTCAAATTTATAAATGTCATATGATTGTATTATTTTGAAGAAAACTCATTATTACAAATGAATTTTAACGATCTTAACTTAGAAATTAGGGGAATTTTACTTGGTTTTGTCTGAAATTTAATCGCGAATTCAAGACATTGTTGACTTTTCAACCCTTATGAAGTGTTGGAAGATTGATTATCAAAATTAACGTTGGTTTGCTGCGCTACAATTGAAAGATTGTCTGATTATTACCTTGAATGTCCATTAACATTTGTTTTACTTGGAAAGTTATGTCCAATTTCGAAAATCTATTTGCAATTTTGTTTACAAAGTTTCATTTTTCTTTGAAAATTTATTTACTAATTTGCTTATAAACTTTTCCGTCTAATTAGGATGATTTACTTAAAACATTTTGTTCTATTTTCCCAATTTTAATGTCATATCACAGTAAATATAATTTCAGAGGGCAGATAGTTTCTTCTCTTATCAATTGGGAAATATTTGTTTGGCTTTATTTAAAATTGAATCGAGCGTTAACGAAATTGTAGGCTGCTTTTGAATTTTTAAGGAGAGATGGAAGTTTTATTATCAAAATTTACTTTCATTTTTAGGTATTTGATCAATTATCTGCTCGTCACATTCAATGTCGATTTTCAAAACTTTGTTTTGCTTATAAAGTTATTCCTAATTTTGAAAATCTATTTGAAAGTTATTACGAGAATCATTAACTCATTTTAAAAATTTAAAAACTGATAGAAGTTTTCTTATTAAGTTTAATATCACCCATTTCTTTTAGAAATTTATTTAATAACTTAATATTCTCTTCAATTCTGGTTTAGTATTTTTTTTCTAATTTTGATGATCAATTTCAAAATTTTCTTAGAAAACTACACCGTAGATAATTAATATATCTTAAAATTTCGCTGGATTCAAAGTTATGCATAAATTTTGCCAATTACTAATAAAATTTGTGTAAAATAATGTTTTATTTTTAAAGTTTACTAAAGCAAAGCAGTGACTTACTCCGTTGATTTACTTAAAAATATAGGTCTTAATCCCTGCAAGCACACATGCACCTAATTTTGACTCACTATGACATTATAACTTTCCTACTTAACTTTCGGTTATAAAAAAATGAGTATTGTCAAAATGTAAGAATTTTTTAATTAGTTCTCTCTCCGTCTGTTTCTCTCTCCCTCTTCAGATTTTTATATTATGTATATATATATATATATATATATATATATATATATACAGAGAGAGAGAGAGAGAGATTTTTAAAAGAAACTTTTTTGAAATGACAACGTTATATACAATAGGAGGTGGTGTAAAGTTGTAAAAAAATTTTGAGAGATTTAGGGAACATCATCAGGATTGAAACTGCAAATTAAACAATACCCAGAAATGTCGTCGAATACTGTTAAGGATGCGTCCCTATACTAATTTGTTCAGAGGCGCACGAAGAGACAGTTCACAATAGATTAGCGCTCCTAGCTGCGTACTGAAACATTTCCAGTTCCTAAGCAATTTTAGTCATGAGGATGTGCCTTAATTCTCCTAAAAATTGTTGCAACATTTGCTGTTGTGTGAAAGCTCTGCTGTAATAGAGGAGTTATTTTAATATTGTTGGTACTTCATTTATTTTCCAATACAATAAATGATGTTTTATTTTTATTTATCAGTTATATTTTCTAAATAAATGTATTTTCAATTTTAAGAAGAAAATCAAAATTTTCTGAGTAAACAAAATATTTTTTTTATAATAAAATTAGAACTAAAATATTTTTTATTCGGAAAATTTTTATTTTTTTATTTATATATCGATAATTTAAAGACATTTATAGATAATTTAGATAAAACATTGAATAGAAAATTCAAAAAGATACAATGTAGAATTCTTAAATGATATATGTTATCATCACTTTAATATACAATATTAAATTGAAAATTAAATTATGCCATTAAACTACCTGCTTTCATATTTAAAGATTCAAAATCTGTCACTTAATTCAGTAAAATTTAGTGAAGAAAAAAATATATTTGAACTATGAACTTAAACCTAATTATAAAAACAATTAACTCTGAATTTCATCGGTTTTTTTTAGCATTATAAAACTTAAAATGTTGCCTTGAAACTCTCTGCTTAAAAATTCAAAATCTGTCTCTTTATTCAAGTATATGTTTTTTTTTTCTCTAAATTTAACTAAACTAAGAACTCATCATCGATTTCGCAGAGAGGCATGGTTGCTATGGAAACAGGTTTATCTCTTCCTAGGATTACTCCTTAGTTTATTCCCGTAGCTTAGTCCCAAACGAAAAGATGTTGATTTATTGCTTTAGAATTAGGCACCTCCCACTGGTACTTAAAAATTCAACTCTTGAATACTGAGATAATCCGTGGTACCAGGTTCTATAGCTTAAAATACAAGGAAAAAAATTCGTCATTTTTTTTTTTTTTTCATTTAGACACATTTTGCGGATAAATTTTTTCTGAGAAAAACTACTTAAAAATACTGGAAATAAACTGTATCTCACGTATTTTTGACAGAATTTTTATTTAATTCATGTTGACAAAAAGCGGCGAAGTAATTTTTATTTATTTACTAGTGTAGTATTTTTTATTTATTTTTTATTTAAGGAGCAGCTTTGAATGATATTTATTTAAAGGTATCGTAATGTCGCTTTATTATAACCGTTTTAATTAACTATTTTACCTGCACGTATGCCAGTTGTTTCTTCAACATTAATGAAAATTAGTTTTTTTTATTCCTTGTAAGGAATTAATAATGCACTAGTTAATTGCTCCTAGGAAAACTGAAACGTATTTCTTATGTCAATTTTTTTTGTATCTAATTCTCGTCAATTTTTTATTTCTAATTCTTGTTATTAATATTTTCAACTTCGTTTAATACTTTTTTATTATGAAAATTTATCCTGTTTTCGTAATATACCCACAAAAAAGCATTACTACAGAAAAAAGGTATTTTTTTCTAGCATTCATTAATTTAATTTTTTGTATCAACATTTTCGACGTAATAAATCTACGTATTAATCTTACATATTTTATATGCTATTTGCTTTTTACGCAATATGTGCTTTTAATATGTATGTTACCAACAAAGTATGAAACGCTGACATTATATAGAACACCTAGGCATTGTATATAATGTCTGACGTTTTTAGGCAAAGTATGAAATATGCGAAGTATTACATACTTTCCCTAGGCATTGTATATGTTACCGTTAAAGTATGAAATCCGTTATTTTATAGAATACCTAGTTATTCCATGAAATAACTGATCGTGTCAGTTAAAGTGTAAAACTCTCTTGTATTTCATGGTTTAACTAGTTATTTCATTGAATAACGATCTGCAGCCCGTTAAAGTGTAAAATATCTATATCATATATCTCGCATGGCAAATACATTTACCTTCCACCCCTACTGCCTTTATCTATTTTGGCTATCATGATAAAAATAACCAAAGAAGGATTTTTCCACTTGGGCTCAAGAAACGGCCGCATAAAACAATTATATTCCCGATCCCAGTTCAGTGTCTGCGAACAAAAATTAATTAAAGTCGAAGAAGTACCGGATGTAGAAATATCGCTCCGGTCGGTTGCTACAGCTCAAAGTTTAGGTACTGGTCAGGGATTTAAAAAATGTTCGTGTAAAACCCAGTGTGTCAGCAAAAAATGTTTGTGTTTTAGAAATAATGTTCTTTGTAATTCCAAGTGTCTTTTTGTAGTCCTTGTTGTGAGAAATGATTTTATGGTGCGTTTCCATAAATACCATTTATACGCTGCATATATTAAATAAATTGCTTCTTTTTCATTTTAATTGTCTATCATTAGTTTATTTATAGAATACCTAGTTATTTCATTTTAGATAAATTGTTTATTTTACACTTTAACTATCTCTCATTAGTTAATTTATAGAATACCTAGTTATTTCATAGAATAACTAGTTAAAGTGTCAAATTAATAGCACATTACACACTTTAACGGATACGATCAGTTATTTCATGGAATAACTAGGTATTCTATGAAATAACTGCATTATATACATTAACCGTAACATATATAATGCATAGGCATTCTATAGAATGCCAAATGCTATTTAGGTAAAGTATGAAATAAACGTCCTGATGAGGTTATTATGTAAATGATGTGCATGTTACTGTGAATGGCCGAAATTGGTGGTTGTTGACTTTCGCCGGCGAATGTTGGCAATCACATCGTCTTGGTGAATGTCCGAAATATTTATTACACCCGATTTGATATTAATTCATTCGTGGATATAATTACATTTATTCGATATTTTAATACTTACTGACGATAGATTAGAAGAAACATCAGTGTTTCGAGTATCGGGCAAATATATACCGGGCAATGGCACTTGACCTTAAAAAAATATCAGTGTAGGGTATACCGGGA